TAGAATATTCCACGTGAAGACAGGGGACCACATAATGATTCATATACCAAACCTTAAGTTTTCAAAATAATACAAATCATGTAATCTGACCATAATGAAAAGCAAATAGACTTTCATATCTATTTCATGTGGCTACAGATTTTTGGCAAAGTCAAGAGGACACAGGTGGTTTCAACAAATAATGCTGAAACAATCACCTGTTCATGCCTTTCCTAAAAAATACACCTCAACTCATTCCTTCACCACTTGTATACAAAAATAGTTAGAAATGCCCATTCATAGGGAGTAGAGTTAAATATGAAACACAAAACTATAAATTTTCCAGAATAAAACATAGGATAATTTAATTTTTTTTTTGAAACAGAGACTTGCTCTGTCACCCAGGCTGGTGCAATGGTGCAGTCACGACTCATTGAAGCCTTGGCCTCCCAGCTGAAGCGATCCTCCCACCTAAGCCTCCCGAGTAGGTGGGACCACAGGTGCACACCATCATGCCCAGCTCATTTTTAATGTTTTTTTTTTTTAGAGAGACAAGGTCTCACATGTTGCCCAGGCTGGTCTCAAACACCTGGGCTCAAATGATCCTCCCGCCTCAGCCTCTCAAAGTTCTGGGATTATAGGCGTGAGCTTATAGGAGAATTTTTGTGAATATGAGTTAAGCAGAGTTCTTAGACACCAAAAGCATGGTTCACAAAAGTAAAACAAAACCAAAAAACAAAAAAAAAAACCCTAATAAATTGAACTTCATCAAAACTGAAAATATTTCTTCTCCAAAAGACAAGAATGAAAGGACAAACCATAGACTGGAAAAAAATATTTGTAAATGATGTGTCTGATAAAGGCCTTGTATTCAGAAAACATTAAAAATTTTCAATAATATGAAAACAAACAGCCCAATTAAAGAAAAATAAGCAAAGGATCTAAACAGACATTTCCCCAGAGAAGATACATGGATGTCAGATAATCATATAACAAGATGCTCCATATCATGAATCATTAGCAAAATGCAAATTGAAATTATAATTAGATACCAATATACATCTATATTGAACAGCTTAAATAATGTAAAAAGAAACCTGAAAATACCAAGTAATGGTGAGGATGCAAAGCATTTGGAAATCTCATTTATTGCTGGTGAGAA